AAAAAAAAAATAGCAACAAAAACAGACTATCATAGCATTACAACTGACAGATAAACAACAAAATTGACAGCATTTGATTTATAGATATCAGAGCACAAAAAAATTTGCTTATTGAATATTTCAAACCTATATTACAACTGTTCTTTTCATTATAGTCTCAAATCATATAAGCTGTATTTTATAGTGCATATATAATTGAATTAGTGGCAAGAAAGAAGTACAGATTCTCAACTTTTCTATATTGTCGACAAAACAAAAAGGCAGACAGCGGCAGAAACGAAACAAAAATTACTGAACAAATACCCGTACGTATAAAAACACAAATGCGTATCTCATATTGAATAGCCTAATTTCCATAACTGATCTCTTTTAAACACTCTTTCTTTTTAGTACCAAAACCACCTCCAAAAAAAAACACCGAGATTTAACATGACGAAATAAAACAATTCTTTTTTTGTACAAAAATGTTTAAATAAGTATTTTTTAGATGTGGTTCTTTTACAACAAAAATTACAAGTAATAAACAGAAGAAAAAATTATTAATGTTGCAGACTTGTCAATATTTATATTTTGTATCTTTCATTTAAATTAACAGGAAATATTTAGCCGTACCATCACCAACATCGTCATCACTATCAAATACCAGTATTCATGAATTGCTGTACATCAAATAAAACTGATGATTTTCAGCAACGTTCATTAAACTGACGTTCTTTACGAAAAAAAGAGCTTTTTCTAGCAACATTTTGTTGCTGTTGTTGTTATCGTCGTAATCGTTGTCGGGAATCTCGACAAGAAAATAAAAAATCTAAATATAGCTGTGCATCAATTTAAACTAGATGGGGTGTAGTAGCAAGAATTGGCATCGGCGGCGGTAAACTTGGCTCGTGCCAGCTTGGTTCGGCAGACGATCTTGATTTACTTATCTCTTTTACTACTGGCAAATTTTCAGCCGATTTTTGTCGATCATATGGTGGTACCATTTTACCATTACGTTGTAAAAATTTTACCCATAACGATTCTGTCAAACGTGCACACATAATTGAACCGGCATGTGCACATATCATCTGCAAAATAAATTTAGTTTAATTATGCAACAGATTTACGTACAGCTGTATTGATCATCAAAAAACAACTATTAGCATCATTTAAATAGTTCAATACGTTAAACGTAACATTGGTACTGAGCGCCTTTAACTTTTATTATTTGATCTTATGCATAGTTGTACTTTCCTTCAAAAAAGCATAAAAATAGCATTAAAAAACAAGGGAAGGAACCTCTTTTAGATTGGTGGCTCCGTTACGCTGACTGGCTGAGTAACTTACAGTTAATTAGAGGAGCACCGCAACCGCTTTACAGTATGCACATACAGCATCTTTAACCGACTAATGAAATTCTGTGTCAAAATGACACTCCACAGAACTATCAAGAGTGATAAATCTTTTTTTTTCTTTTTTTTTTTTGAAGTTAGTTACCAGTAAAGATAAAACAAATACGAGTTTTTCTAAGTCGTCATAAAATCCAAAAATCCAAAGAGAACGCGATAAAATTGAGATCAGACATTGTCAGGTATCTTCCTCCTAACAATCTTCCCTTTTCAAAGACTATGCGTATCGTCCGCTCAACATGAGATCAACAGAAATGATTCAATAACCAGTAACTGTTAGCATAGACTAGCTTATGAAACTTATATGATGTATTTGATAAAATCTTTGCAGCTTTTAAAGCTAGAAGAGCCGTACCGCAATAAACGGTTTACTATCTTGATTATATCTCTAACTTAGTATTTTTTACTTGACCATCTCTAAATTATCTTACAATTCTTTAAACAAGGTAAATAAAGCAAGTCTTTTGCACAAGTCAATTGAGCCTAAGTCAAAAAAAAGTTTTTTTTATTGCAGTCATCGAATATATTTCTTTAGCCTTTTTGGGGTTGGTATTTTGCAGCAGCTTCGTTGTGGTCCGTGCATTATAGCCAGTCATTACCCATCTAGTCTTAAATAATTTTTTTTCGTCTCACTTCTCAATTTTTTCTCGACCTGTTCATACTCGAGTATTATAATTTGTAAAAGTGACGCCCAAAAACTTTGACAACGCAGGTATTTCAGAGATCAATCCGCTGCTTTTTGTTTTTCCCTTTGTTACAAGACATGCACTGCGGTAAGCATATTTGGAAATATGCTGCAGTGGG